TATATATATATATATATATGTATATATATGTAGCGTGTACGTGTGTCGCACTCTCTTGTAAGAGAGTGAAATCTCGGTTCGCCTGTTGCATCGAACTATTGGTTGGTCCCGTGTAAATAGATCCCGTGTAAATTCGAAGTGGTATTGCCGCAGCGGCCAGTGATCGATCGGCCGGATCGATCTTGCGCCGGGCGACTTGTTGCGCACACCGTGCTAGATTTTACAAATGTCACGGCCCGGTGTTTGAATTGGAATCAGAAGGTACGTACGTGCCTTTTGGAATACGCTTCCCGCCTGCACGTACCGTCACCGGCGAGCTGAATTTCGAGGCAGTCGAAAGCTGTTGGAGAATGCTTGTTGAAATGTTCTTCTGCTTTTCTTTCCCCCCCCTCCCCCGTAGGTGGGGGCTATCCACACGACGAAACGGTGTACTTGTCCCCGAAAAAAAAAATGCAGACGCGAGAAATTCGACATCGCAGAGGAAATAGAAATTCTTCTCGACGGAGCAATTTATCAAACGCAAGATCGTATCTCTGGCTGATAAACGCGACTCGACGCAGTAGATTCAACGAGATAGCGTTGTTACTACGCTTATGACAATCTCAGACGATCTGCGTGTCAATTTATGATCGAAGTATAGCGAAATGCAATTTGTTATATCATTGTATAAGATTGTTAACGCATCAAGTCGCAGCAGCAGGTTGTAACTTGTGACTTTAACTTTTAACCGGAGATTTCTGCCTCTTTTATCAACAGGGCAAATCCGCAACAAGCGGATGTTGACGGTCATTTCGCAATTTCATCGAGTGATCGCCGTAATTGTCGGAAGTGGCGGGTATAATTTGGGTTACGTTCACGCTCTGAAAGTTCACAGTTTCACGGAAATGGGGGCGAGTAACCCTGAACATACCTCGTGAAGTTCTCGGCCCCTCGAACCACCCAAGGAGAACTGGTTTCAAACTCATCATCGTCACCTACCTATTCACGAGACAACGTTCCAAAATGAAAAAAAAGAAAAAAAGGGGGGAACAATCAAATGTCCCTGGAAACGGCAAAACACCGCTGATTGCTGAACGTATTATTTCAAGCTGCTTTTCGAAGTCTGGGTACAGGTCGAAAATTCATCGACAAAGAATCAAGCCAGAGGCGAGTTCTGGACTTGAAATAAGACCAACTGAAAAATGTTGAAATTTACCTAAGAAAGGAACGGTGTTACTTAAAGTAACATTTCTTCTAAAAAGAAAAAAAAAAAAAAGAAGAAAAGAAAAACAATGAATATTGTTGCAGAGACCTACTTTCATCGCCCTCCTTGGAATTACTCGCGCGCAACATCCTTGTTAGTAGATAATCCTATAATAAACGCAGCCTACAGAGAGACTTCGAGACACTTCGAATTCTTCTTGCGAAAGAAATTGCAACAACGCTGGCTATAAAAACAGGCGAACGTTTGCAAATATTTATCGACTTACGATACGTCCGAGCGACCAACCAAGGATTAAATATGTATTCTTTTTTAGAATAGAAAAGCTGCCGCTGGCTTTGATATTAAAAAAAGCAAAGCGAAGATTCGAGATTCCTCGAGTCGAAAACCTACGTCGAGACTGCGAGGATTTCAGGATTTCAAAGGGGACGAGATGGGAGCCCCCTTGAACAGTTTCCCTTGAAACTCCCTCGTTATTATCCGCCGCTGCTGGCACCACTCTACTCTAAACTCTAAGGAGAGACAGACTTTAGAGCGCAAGGGAGAGCAGGTAGAGAGAGCAGAACAGCCAGCGAACAGCTCGAACCGCTCACAGCTAAATATATCTCTCTCTCTAGAGTTACTCAAGGTCACAGCGCTCGGATTGGCCCACGATAAAGCGGGGCTCCGTATCCGTCCCTCGGCTGCCTGGCCTTATGCTCCGTCCGCACACAACATTCTGCCGCACCGTGGCCCACATGTCACTTCGCGACAATGTTCCATAGCAGCCGCATCGAGAGAACACGTGTCCGAACGCAGCCGATAGTTACTCCATCCACTATGCGAGCAGTACTTTGAGTCGCGATACGTGCACGTTCCTACTCTGCACTCGTAGGCTCTACATCTTTCAATCATCCATTGTTCTCTTCCGTTGATCAAAATCGTCGATCTTTTTTCAGTTACATTTACGCTTCCGTTTTTGACTACTGCGGTGAAGAATGAAAGTTGAATTTTTGTTTTAACTTAAACATCAAACTGTCGAGATACATTTGGTACGCGTAAAAGTAACGACAACTTCTGTGGAGGAGAAAGGACAGCAACACGACACATTGCATACGTGATGATATTACTATTCTACGAGGCGTACACCGACTTCCGAGTAAACCGTAGAGACACGCGGAAAGAGAAATGTGACCTGTTGCCGATGATGACAAATAATCGGCGGGTTTACAAGTCGCTCTTTGAGGAATTGTCGGATTTTGCAAAAAAAATAGCTCTTGTAGCTTTTTAACTCGTTTACAAATTTGTTTACATTTCATTGTTGCACTCGCAAGAGATTTCCATTCGAAATCCGCCTACGCACTCTTTGCATTTTATAAAAGATCGTTTCACAATTTCAACAGAATTCGATCTGGAAAATATCTGAAACAAGTATTCGAGTGAGAAAACATAGAGGAAGAAATTTATCATAGGATACAGATTATAGGATAAAAATTTATTTCGATTTTGGCAGGGTTGTCCGGGCAACTGGCTGCTGATAAGAGAAACCGAGCCACGCTGAATTTGAGGTTAGGTGATTGCCCGAGTGTGCAGTAAGCATCATCGATAACGGAGCGCTGTGCAACCTCGCTTGTCCGTGGCAATACGATCTGGCAACCCTGGAGCGGCCGGCAGTGCCGGGGTTGAATTTCAAGCGCCCGAGGGACAGAGGGGGTCAGGCCTCTCTCTTTTGTATAGGGGGCACGAGGGCTTCACCGATGCCTCGGCACATAACGGTGAGTCGACGGCCATGATGCGGGGTTTATGGCCGGCTGCTCGGTTCTGTTCCCTGCTGAAACGCGCTTCAGAAGAAAACCAGCCTTTCTCTTCGTCTCTTCCTCCTCTCCCTCTTCGTCCCTTCCCCTCCTCCTCTCCCGCTCCCCAGGACATTGCTGGCAACTCGCTTCAGGCCTACGGGGTTGAGTCCCACTAAGCGCTCGTTCCTCACCACCCAAATATTCCCCCGTCTATTAATCCATCAGATTTTCCTCTTCCCATGGCCGTTGAAAATTACGTGAACAGCAAATTCGCGTGCACGATCATGGCTTCAGCACAGCCTTTAACTCAGTCTGAAAAGACGACGACTTCAGTATCTTCAATTCAGCTTGTTTCCGATAACGGGGCTTATCTTCAGACTTGAAATCGTAAAGATATTTCAAGTGTTAATTGAAGATGAATCGAAACTTTCGTACGACCCGTTCTGCACCGTTGTTCATGCGCGATATACTTGGCGAAGCTTTCAATTCTTCGCCCGCCACTAATTCTTCAGATTTCAAAATTCTAAAATTATCAGTCCCCGTAACGTTTGCAACATCCAGTATAAAACGATAGTCCATCTGGAAAAGTATCCAAAGCTTTCGATTCAACTAATTTAAAAAAAAAAAAAAAAAAAAAACACTACGTATGCACGATTTTAAACGCAGTTTACAAGAAAAGAAAGACAAAAAAACAGACTTGAATTTCATGATAAATTTCTTGTTTTACGAAATGAAAAATTAATTGTCCGAATTTTATTATTCTCAGGTGTGCCGAGATTAGTAGAACAGCAGTCGGCGATTGCAAAGTTCCGAAAGATTCCCAGCAAGTTTCTTCGTTCTTGCCGTGCAGAAGCAACGACAATGGAAAGTTACCGAAGCGCAAGCGCTCGCTCGGCACTTTCCACTAGCACACTCTAACCAACTTGTAGCAACTGTTACGGTGCGCCAGTGGTAGTGCTGCTGACATTGGTAGTGAGCCGTTCGCTATGGTACTCATGGACTGCCGGCGAAGCGAGATCTCACGACGAACACACCAGTATCATCGACCAACACACCAGTTCATCGAATGATTATACAGCGGCATACTATCGCAAGGCAAAGCATGTGGCGTACTGTTGTACGATAGCGTAGGGGTATGCTAGGTTGCAAAGAACGTTCGTTCTTTTACGTGTGCGCAACAACGTAGCGAAAAGACAAACCCTTACGCGATATATATATATATATATATATATACACACAGGAAAAGTTTCGAAGAGATATCCATAAGTTTTCCTCTTGCTTGCAATTTTGCTGACGACGGTCAGGGACATTGGTGAAAAAGAAGCGAAGAGAGCAACGTAAGACTAACAGTTTGCGTGGGGAGAAAAAAGAACAGAAACTCGATATATAAATTTTTCACGTACGTGTTTTAGTTGTCAAAATGTTCGACGAGTTTCATTCGGCCGAAGCGAGGTACGAAAAATATTTTAGAAAGTTTATATATATATAAAAAAAAAGGGGGAAACTGCAATTCCATGCGGCGTGTCTCCTTAATTGAGTTTCAGCTCGCCGATTCGCGGAACGAACGTCATTAAGCTCGTAAGCACGGAAGTACAAGCGCGCATGTCGTCGCGTTTACAAAATTGTGAAATCGTTCGTTTCGCAACGGCTGCCGGCATCTGTCTCGTGATATTCCGCTACAGGCATGAGAAAGAAAAAAAAAAAAAAAAAAGAAAAAGAGAGAGAAACACGTTTGCCCCCTCTACGTTTAGCGACTGTCCAATCGTCGAGCACTCGGGAGTGTTCAAAGCGCATACGGAGACTTTTTGAAAATGTTCGCATCCCACAAGGGTTGCCAGAGTCTCCTTTCCCCTTAGTATGTGCCCTTTTGTGCGTGTTCGAGCCACTTCTGGCGCGCATGATGTACATATATACATATATATATATGTTCGTAGTAGACCGTGACGCGTTGCACACAAACTCTGTTCTATATATGAAAACCCCGTCTACCCACACAAGGTTTAATCTCGCTCGGTATAGAGCTCGGTAGCGACGATGTGTGTAGACACGCGGAGGGACGCACACAACGTCGCCGAGAACGTTGTGTTGGAGCACGCGGTGTGCCAGCCGTGCTACGGCACCACTGGCGCGCCTCTACCCCGGCTTTAGCATCGATTTCCAGTCGGACGACCCAGCGCGATCGAGCGAACGGTACGCGCCTTCACGAGGAGGTATCGAGCGCGTCCGCCGCTCGTGGGAGTCCACGAAGAGGGGTCGCGCGAGAAATAATATAGTTTATCGTCGAAACGATCGACGAATTTCTGCATAAAGCGTCGCGTATGATAAAACGCAGTCCATCGATACTGTTCCTATGTTTTCCCTATTAGGTGAGATGAATCAAAGAAAAAAGACAGATAGATAGATGGATAGATATAAGTGGATGAATAGAGAGAAGGAGAGAGAGAGAGAAAGAGAGCACAACTGGGAGCGAGTAGGAGCAGATCTACGTGGTAGAGGGGAGTCGGACGGTTTAGTGGTGGTGTAAAGTCCCGAGAGAGGCAAGAGGAAAAGGGGACGAGCAGAAGGTAGCGAAGGCGCTGCCCTCAGTCGGTCAGCCGCTTTACTACAGCCAGCATATACAAGAGTAGACCAAGCGATTGGCTATACGTGGCTTTGCCTAAGCGCGCACTATACGGCTCCGTGTGTTCCCGTTTTTCAAGTGAAGGCTTTGAGCTTCGTTCTGCCCGCTCTTTCGCTCGCTCGCTTGCTCGCTCGTTCGTTCGGTCGGTCGGTCTTGTAGTCATCGTCGTGTTAGTGTACGTATGCGCGCGCGCACTCACACGCGCTCATCCAAGCTGAGACAGACAGAGAGGAGGGTAGAGAGAGAAGGACAGACACAGAGTGTCGACGAGAGTCGTGCAGAGAGACAGGCGCGCGTACACAGCCATCGAACGTGGTGATTCGTACGGAGGCGGACGTGCGATAGAGCTAAAAACCGAGGCCGTTTCTCGCGGGGGGACAAAAAGAAAAAAAAGACCGCACTGGTGGCTGGTTAAGATCGGTGGTATATCCTTGTTGTCTCTTCTTGGTTACCAACGTCGCACCGTTGTCGTCGATGAGACCGTTAACGGGGCCCCTCGTCGTCGACGCTTCAGCGCGAACTTTTCCTACTCGACGGCACGAAGGCACGCGAACAGTTTACATGGGAACGATCGGTGCGTCAACCAATCCTGACGAACAAGGGAGGATCAAAGAAGACTATCGTGAGTAAATAGAGCGAGAGACAAGGGGGGGTTGGTACGACGTACCCTTGCGGAACGCGCGTGTATGGTGTATCATCGGCGCGACGGACGATTGGAGAACCGTCGTGTGTATCCCGAGAGTTGTTCCTTCGGTAGATCGGTGAATACGTGCGTGTACGAGGACTACTGAGAGAGAAGTGGGGGTAGAGACTCTATATACTACTTCACGGACATCCGGCGGGGAAACCGCATGCATTCGTACGAACCTCTCTGAGAGAGCGAGGGGGAAAAAAAAAGAAAGAAAGAAAGAAGGAAGGAAGGATCTGCTGGCGCCGAGGGAAACACACGGCTGCTCTCTCTCTCTCGAGTGCTCGGGATAAGAGAGGGAGAAAGATAGAGTGAGACTTGAGAGAGGAGAAAGGAGGTTCTTTGCGTTCCGATTGCCCGCATATCTTGTACGTTCTCCTTTTTGTTGTCTGATCCAAGAGAGACTGAGCCGAGAGACACACGTTGATCACTATTTTCCCCATAGACCAGAAACCTAAAGTCAAATTTTGTTATTCATCGTAATCGGTTGCGTATCGTTGATCCTCGTGCGTGCTTGCTCGCACGCACACAACACACACACACACACACGTACGCAACGGTTGAAATTTTCGGTACAAATAATAAGGGTGGCGGAGAAGAGGTGGAAGGACGTGACAGCAAGAGAGAGAGGTGGAGCAAGGGCTCAAGGAGGAGAGAGAGAGAGAAGTGAGAAACACGCCGAGCAGTGCTGCTCCCTATTGGCGACGTCGAGTCGCGACTCCCCACCCGGGACAGTCGAACGAGGTCCGAAGGCGAGTTCTCGGCGTGTAACTACGGTGATTTTCCCTTACGAGAGTGTACGCACACGAGACCTCGTACGGAACTCTGCGCCGCATCACGCGTTCCGCGTAAACACATTTCCTCTCTCGTACGGTACGGTAAACAACCAGTGATCAATAGCGTCGAGCTGGAACTGCTATCAATCCTGGTGAGAGCACAACAGCGAGGAAGTATCTTTCGGTGGAAATCGAAAAACAGCTAGAAAGAGAAAGAAACAGGGAGCGAGAGAGAGAGACACACACTGGCATCGAAGTCTGCTTTTACACGCGTGCCATCGTCGATAACCGTCGTCGTCGTCGCCGTCGTCGTCTCTCTCTCTCTCTCTCACTCTCTCTCTCTCGTTCACGGAGCGGGCAAAGAGCCTCCGGTACGTGTACGCGCCGATCGTGAACGCGTCCCACGCGTGTGTCGCGTATCACCGCCGCCGGTGAAACCGAGAGAATTCGAACGAGTCAGAGGGTAAAATAGGATTTCTCGCGTGGTCGGTCCTCTCCCGTGGCTGGCGCGGCGAGGGAGGAGGGGTGCACGAGGAAGCACGAGAGAGAGAGAGGGAGGAAGGGAGGGAGAAGGAAGCAAGAAAGCAAGACACTGCCCGACAAGATAGAAGAGGAAGGAGTGGGAGAACGAGAGAGACGGAGAGTGTTGAGGGGGAGCGACGAGGACGTGTATAGTGCACGGAGGCGCTGGTGCTGCGCCCCGACGGCCGTTCGTCGAAACTCAGTTATCACAATGGCTTCCGTGAAAGACACAGCAACTTTCTTTGCGGAGGGCACAGCGAGTCAGTTCGAGCACGTCCTGAAGCTTTATCCGCAGGCCCTCAGACTCAAGGCCGATCGGAAGACGAAAAAGCCCGAGGAGCTGATCAAGTTGGACAACTGGTAAGTTCGATAGAACGTCTGGATATTTCGTCGGGACGGTATTACGCCCGATACGACCACGGGCCCTCCTTTTCAACGAGGGGCTTCCACCACGGGCACACACGGGACAATGAACCCGTGGCGCGCCAGTTGCCACCACATACCGCATGCTGTGTGCGGTGCTACCCGTATGGCCCCCTCGATTCCGACCTACCTACAATTCCGCTATAGCATATTTACTCTCTTCTATTCCCGTGATCGACGACGATCGGCAAGAGCGCGGCAGCGGCGGCTTCGAATCACTTCGCGGAGGCTAAAACCAAATCGCTTTCAAACGTGTCCGCAGAAAGGACACGTACTCGTGTTGTCACGTGGTGATTTAATTAACTCGCTTTTCTCCCCTCGCTCTTTGTTCTTTATTCTCATACAGTATACTCTCTGCAGACGTATATAATACTTTTTTTTTTTTT